GACACCCTGAACTTTGCCTTGATGACGGAGCGTGCTCGTCCGACAGACACGGTGGTGACCCCAAGAGCACCAAGAAACTCCAGACATGGGTTGCGGCCCCGCATCATCACGGAGCACGCCTCATCTGACAGATCTCGATCCCCCACACGCATTCGGGCTCGACCGGTGGACACGTCATCTACCTGGTACATACCGGCTTTGTCCCCGCCTCGAGCGGCACATCGTGATGCTAGTGACCACAATCCTGGTACTCGGCCCGAATCTATGTTGGATCGACTGCCACCGCCTCGCCCCCTTGCTCCTTTCGCGGCACACGGTGGACGAGAGCCAGGACAGACGACGCCTACGACACCTGATTCGGATTCTGATGGTTCGGTACGTCCGCATCCAGGTGCCTCGTCGTTCCGGCCGTCGCCGACGGTGGTTCATGGTCCTCGGGAACTTCTACAAGAATTTCCATTGCACTTCGCAATGCATACCGTGAACCTTTCACGGCATGGACACAGGGTGAGCTGGATGAAATGGTGAGACGGAAGAAAGATAAGGATTCCAGGCCCACCTATAAGACCATAGCGCGGTTTCTTCAGAAGCCGATTGAGGAAGTCAAGCAGGCATGGAAGGTCTATCAACAACTTGAGGCTCGCGGCTAGGCACATGCCCGTCAAATGCAGCAGCGACCGTTGATGGACCAAATGATAAGCAGCGGCGGTGTGTCCGGTTCGAGTTGTTGATCACATGATATTTGCTTGCTTGCACGTGACTCAATCTTGCTTGTCGTGTTGTGAGATGTCGTTGACATGCAGTGCTGTCTTGCCTGAGTTGCTCAAATCATGTCAGAACAAGTTGTACAGACGTACATTACCTGGACCCATGGAGCGCAGCCGACGTGGTTACAATTTCATGGACCCGGGGCTCTACTCGACAGACCCATTTGGCTGACTACGTCGCCTCCGCCCCCGCCAAGTCTGCCATTGCTTCTTCCACCTCCTCCTCCACCACCACCACCACCACCGGTGATTCTACACCCACAGTTTATGCCCTCGGTACGCAGCCCCTCGATCTCAGCCCATCGCGGACAATCCTGCCCTACCTCTTCGAAATCGCAGCGCACACGCCGCTCGATCTACAGCACTGACCCTTCCCGTGATGAAGAACCACGCAGTCCAGGGCGCTCGTCCAAACGATCTCGGACAGCATCAGCTTCAGCGCCGCGGCGATCTCGACGGCCCTTTACGGTGTTTTATTCCAAACGTGCTGGCCGTCCATCGCAATCCCCATCGGCAACATGCAAGCATTACTGTCACGCCATCCTGCGTCATGGACGGAAATGTCTTTCCCCTTGTGCTCGTAGACGACCAGGTCACTATCATTGCAGGTGTGCGCGACATCAACGACAGTGAAAGCTAGGAGTCAGACATTTCAGACCTCGTTGCTGCGTTTCACCTTGTGTTTGAAAAGTTGCCTCGCTCTTCAGCGGATATGTGTGGTTGGCAATGCATGTGTGTCCTTGCCGCAGACTTTCGACTGGTTTAGCAGTCGTGCAAGCCCGTATTGCTGCTATGAACCCCCAGTATTTCGAGTACCAGATCGATAGAGGAGTGGAATGGATTCGAATTTACTCTCCGGGCATTTGGAGGCCCGTTCCTGAGGAGGCGCCAGTTCCGGACCCACTTTACGCTTCCACGTATCGGGAGTGGCGCAGATCATATCACTTCCAAGTGTACTGGTCGGAAGACAGCACCGGAGGCACCACAATGGATCCTATAGCCACGCCCAGTTCCTATGTGTCCTATCACGTGTGGGAGTACCGAGACTGGCAAACACGAGGGTACCAACGACTTGGACCTCCTGTCCAATCCATCGGATTCGCGATGCTCGTCAATGCAGACGTCGAGTCCTCGGTGGGCTCGTCGGTACCGGATGGGGCGTGGCGGGAACCGTCACCGCCGCCATTCCATGATCCTTGGAATGATTCGGATTGACACTTGAGTAGCATGTTGGATAAAGATGCGGTTGTGCTTGCTTTGTATGTGAGTTCTCATTGGGTTGTCTTGCTTGGTGCTGTGCATGTCGTCTCTATGTGTCCGCCGCTTTCCGTGATAACTTTGAGCAGCTTGTCGGGTTGAAATGTTCAATAGTACGGTGCAGGGTGCAGCACGATGGGTCCTACCTCGCTATTTTGACTATGACATCGTCAATGGGCCAGCAGGAACGAGTGTGGAATGGATTCGAATCTATGTACCGGGTCAGTGGCATCCAGTAGCCCCTGACACCCTGGGACCGGCCCCGGATGACCCGACCACCTATCGGGAATGGCGCAAGGTCCACCACTTCGAGGTGTACTGGCCCAGGGAAAGCACGGGCGGCACAACTATAGGCACGGTTCTGCAACCGGTATCCTACGCCACCTTCTACACTTGGTATTACAGGGACTGGGTCACCAAGGGGTACCAACGCCTGGGTCGTCCACATCCCAGCATAGCGAGGCCAGTTTTCGCTTCGGGTGCACCGGACCTCATGTATGCTGGATTGACCTCCTCCTCGGCATCATCTAATTCACATGATAGCTGATGCCCGTCCTCGCCTTCCTGGAGAGTCTGACTTTGATGTTGGCGCCGCACAGTGCTACAAAAGTTGTCTTTTGCATTATGATAGTTGATTTGCTTTCACTCGTTGTTGTCTGCAGCCGTACACCTATCAACTTGTCTTTCCGTGGTTGCGTTGTCATGGCGTGGCTGGAATGGTGCCCGGATCCTCAACAACCAGATGCCCTGTGGGTCAAGATCTTTCATCCGGGACCATGGACGCCACAAGAAGAACATGATGCTCCACCTCCTCCGCATACTTTTAGAGAATGGAGGGAGTTCTATGCTCCCAACCAGGACTCAGTCGAAGGGCAGGTCCAAGTCACTACGTGGTACAAACGAGACTGGGCCACAGAGGGCTATCGGAGAATCGCTGCCCCTCACGCTGGTCATGAATTTGATTCCATGTATCCCTCCGATCATCACAGCGTGGCCACGCAGTCTGCGGCATTGAGTATGTCGCCGGAGCTGTTAGACGCGATTCTCAGGTCCTCGGATGCGGCTGATTTCTCCACTGAAGAACTGACTCGTCTCCAGGAGGGGATTTCTCAACAACTGACGGCCCGCGCACGTCTGGCCTCCCATCCTCATCAACCAGTACGTGCATCGCGTGGAAACACACCATCGGAGACGATTGGGGTCTCCGACCCCTACCGGCCCGTGAATCCTTCCGACAGCGGCCGAGACAAGATGAGTCCCGTCTTCGAGCTGACTGAGGACTAGACTTGCATGAGCAGCGCAGCGTACAAAATAAGGGTGGTCTCTACACTTGCATGATCTTGCTTGGTTGTTGTTTGAACATGGTTGTGCATGGTGCCTGTTCATCTACTAGCTGGATCGGAGCCCGCGATACGCCTTGCCTCTTGCCTCGACATGGACATCGATGATTCGAAGCAGCACCCATGGCTCGAATATTCGGTCTGGCATGATCAGGAGTGGGTGCGGATATACACTCCAGGACAACCTCAACGATGGCACCGCGGTGACGCCGTACCTGATCTACCTGAAAATTCTTTTCGTGAATGGCAGCGGGTGACTGATCCCGATGCGCCAGTCCAGGCATGGGACATCCGTGACTGGCAACACCAAGGGTACCAGCGCATTTTGTCTCGGATTGAGTCCTTCGCAACTCACTATCCACATGATCAGACTCTTGGTCAAGTTCGAAACTCCGATGCCGTTCCAGTTGAGGAGACCTTCACCTATGCCACTCCGTTTTCTCATGGTGATCGCCCGGCTGCTTCGCAAATCGCTTCAGTCCTCTATGGCGACACTCGCAATGCTCAACGTGGTGTTCTTTCGTTCCCGTCTTCTGAGCGGTTTAGGGCGGTGTCTCGCTCCCCTCGCTGTGGAGGATATTTTGGTCAACGATAGAGATTTGAGTTTGAGCATGTGATCTTCCTGCAGGAGAAAAGAGAAACCTCGCCCCTCGTAGAGGGGCGTGTGTGTGCGGAGTGGCAGAAAACCCTGCCACCAAAACCGTTTTCTGTTGCAGCAGGGGGACCATCCGTTTGCTGTGTGCGATGGTCCAACGAAGCGGCCACAGCAAATGCGGATATCGAGGCTGATCACCTCGACGTACCTGCGACATTTGGAGTTGGTGATGTAAAGTCCTTTTGGCCTGTTGTTTCTCTCGCTGTGTGTGCTTCATGTTGATTCTGTAACGTTTTCGCCTCTAGAGGGAAACCGAGTGCCTTGCGAGCCGAAACTCATCCTACTCGAGACTTGTCGGTTGTACTCGAGACTCATCAGTTGTACTCGAAAGATTAGCATTCTCCATCTGGAGTTCAAGTGTGTGTGTGTGTGTGTGTGTGTGTGTGTGTGTGTGTGTGTGTGTGTGTGTGTTTTTTTTGTTGTGTGTGTGTGTGTGTGTGTGTGTGTGTGTGTGTGTGTGTGTGTGTGTGTGTGTGTGTGTGTGTGTGTGTGTGTGTGTGTGTGTGTGTGTGTGTGTGTGAGTGTGAGTGTGTGGGTGTGTGTGTGTGTGTGTGTGTGTGTGTGTGTGTGTGTGTGTGTGTGTGTGTGTGTGTGTGTGTGTGTGTGTGTGTGTGTGTGTGTGTTTTTTTGAAGCTCGGTACCCTGTTCAGGTTGGTTTAGAGGTAAACCAGAAGGAAGACCGTAATCCATTTTCGGGTCCGAATCCCGCATTTCACATACCCAACTCAGCTTTCCCTCTCCCTTGTGTTTTGGAGCTGGCCTCAAGCATTCTGTTTTGAAGCGCGCACATTTGATGGCCTATGCATGAGTTCAGTCAGCATATCCCGTGGTCTATGGTCAATTTGGGAGGGACATTGGGACACTCGATAGATTTTAACACAATTTCAGGGTGACTCACTATTTCCCAATTTATTTCCTACATGTCAAGGTAAGCGCGCATATTTCCGCGTGGCTCGCGTGGCTGCAAATTCTTCCGCCCGAGGTCTCAGGATGTAGACGTCGCCTCCACGGATTTCGTGCAGGGCGACAACATTGTTTACACCCTGCATCTCGAAATTGCTCGTTGCTTCGATCTCGGGGACCCCTTAAAAGAAACCTTCAACCTGTCAGGGGACTTCAATTCACGGGGGTTCGAATGGACGGCTGCTAGCTTATGCAACAGGAGAACCAAGTGTGTAGTTTTTCCTCGAACCCATTTGTTAGAACCATCTTTAGGTTCACCCAAGTCTAGAATGTTTGAGCTGGTACCCTCCCATTCATGGAACCTGACTGACGGCTCCTGGAAGACGATGCTTCCTTGAAATGGACCCTCTGGTGGGTGCCATGTTTATGGACGAGAAGGTATTCAAACTTGAGTGCAGTTACGGGCAAAACACGGGCCCGTTGAAATGGCCAAGAATCACTTGCCAGCAAGCGGTGTTCTTTTTGTTGCAACAAAATCTGATGAACGTGTCCAGTAACTCAGCAGCAAAATCTGGTGGGTCACTTGGCAACCCTGTTTGATCTGAGGCATTTCTATTCAGGCACACATGGACAATACCTCAGAGACAAGGCGCAGGCGGCCCTCGACCGGGGCATTGCGTTATTTGTCTCTGAGTGGGGGACTCTCCACACTGAAGAGGTCACATTTTCGGATCTGTTGGATGTGATTGAATGTGCATAGTTTAGAATGATACTGTACATTTATGTGTACTTACATACATATGGACATATGCTGCGCACTTGCTGGAGGGAAGTGGAAACCAACCAAGGGACGTTCTGCCCCCAGACCAGGGCTCTCTAAGATTTCCACCTTTGGGGTATTTTTGTTTTTTCAGTTTCTTGTGTTCCAGTGAGGTTCTGGCAGGGGCGCACAGTCATCTCAGGACATGTGAGGCTGACGGGAACGGAGGCTTGGACTTAGAGGAAGCGCAAGCCTGGATGGAGTTCCTCGAGGCGAACAACATCTCGGACGCCGATTGGGCTGTGAACGAGCCTCGGCTTTTCTTTTCTCGGAGAACCCTATTCAGGCCATGATTGGAACGTGCGTCTCTTCTCTGTGTTCTGGCGGGGATCTAAAGTTAGCCTCTCGTTGCCCTGCCAGACTTAGAAGTTTGTTCTCCAGGTCCTTTTGGCGTTCGATCATTTTTCCTCGTGATTTGGCCAAGATACATCAGAGTTGCTCCAAACCAACAAATCAACACTTGAGGGACGGACATCTACCCTTGTGCCAGGGTTTGAGCAACCCTGATGGGTACCAGTTGTTCTTTTTGTTTTGTGTTGCATGACAATTCCTTGCGTTCGATTCAGGGATCTTGGCGGATGGGTATTTTGTGCTATGTCTATTTGTTCTCTTGGGGTTCATGTTGCTCCGGTGTGTTGCGACATGTAGATCTCTTTAGCCCCTTGGGGGAACTTTGTATGGGTCCACCCATTTTACTCACCCCCTGAATTCCTGGACTTCAGTCACTTTTTGGGTTGGGACCATGTTGGTGGGAACCAAGCAGTTTGGGTACTTTTTGGCGAATTCTCCAGGGGTTGACTCCCCATTCTTTTCAACCATCGTTCTTTTCCAAAACCAGCTGTTTCCCCAGGGTGTGGGGTGTTTGTGTTGAAAGAAGGATGCCTGGAAGTACTGGAAATGGAAGGTACCCCTAGAAATTCACTTCCGTTCGGAAGTGAGTTTTTCAGGGTGCATTTGTGTGGTGAGGACAAGAAGGAATCCTGCTCTGCGCTGCAGCCGGGTGCAGCCACCAACGGCCACTGGGGCCCCAGGGATTTGACGCCCTCGGGGCGTTGGGTGCGGCACTCCCTGCGCCAACACGCGGCGAGGAACGGGAACCCGCTCATCAGGAGCTCCGTCCGACACGAGTGAGGCTTTGTGGTTGTCTTCTTTTCTTTTCCCAGGGACCCGTGCAAAGGGGCCCGAGTCCTTTTTGCTTCCCAGGCTTGGCAGGCTGAAGCGGTCGGTCGGTCGGTCGGTCGGTGGGCGGGTGCTTCTTTGGCTTCCGCGGCTTGCGTGGTTTTGCGGCGTTTGGCGGTTGGTTGTAGCTTTTGCCTTCCCACATTCCCAGCTGCTCACTTCCGGAGAGTGTTTGCAACCCCCGAACCAGCACCCTAAACCGACCACCCCTAAACCCACCCCTAAACCCACCCCTAAACCCACCCCTAAACCCACCCCTAAGCCAGCACTTAAGCATCCTGAGCCAGCCAAAGCCTATGGCGCCTTGGGCCTTGGCAGGATTAGGCCCAGGAACAGCACCAATGAGACCGGCAACGAGACGGGCGGCGACGACGAGGACGAGGACGGTGCTCATGAGCGAACCTAAGGTTTCTAGGGGTACCTTCCATGTCCATTCTGAACCCGGGGATCCGGATCTTTCTAGAAAACCCGCGGGTTTCCTGAGGGAAAACGGATCCGGTTTTTTGGAAAGAAGGATAGTTGAAAAGAATGGAAAAGGAATCAACCCCTAGAAGGTTAGGGGAAATTTCAGGGGGCGTTGCTTTCTCCGATGCCAAGGTGACCCTCTTGAAAATGACAGAGTCTGGGGCCTTTGTTGCCCTTGAACCGCTATGGCTTTTCACGCTTTTGGCAAGAGCAAACAAAACTGTCCTTTTATGGAAATCAGTTTGGTTCCAATCATTCACCACCCAGGAGCAACAAGCCAAGCGTCTGCAGGGGTCGCGCAGACCAAGTGGGGACTGCAGCGTGTTGTATTTGAGCACCTGTTCCTGTTCTACAGCGCAGCGGCAAGTATGTAGAAGCAGAACAACAAGAATCATCAGTGGTGGGTCTAGGTATGTTTCGGAGAGCTTCTAAGTACAGGAGAACAAGAAGCGCCAAACATAGGAGTAAGTCTGGCCCAGGAGGATCCCGACCCAATCCACCTGGACTCGGGTCGAGGCCTATACGAGTCATCCGAGGGAGCGATGACACGATGCGGTGTTTTAGCGCCCCAGCTGGTGAGGTTGGAACGGGGGCTCTTAGTGCGAGCGTGCGTGAGTGCTTGCGTGGGTGGTGGGTGGGTGGGTGGGTGGGTGGGTGGGTGGGTGGGTGGGTGGGTGGGTGGGTGGGTGGGTGTGTGTGTGTGTGTGTGTGTCTGTGTGTGTCTGTGTGTGTCTGTGTGTGTCTGTGTGTGTCTCTGTGTGTCTGTGTGTGTCTCTGTGGTCTGTGTGTCTCTGTGTGTCTCTGTGTGTCTCTGTGTGTCTCTGTGAGTCTCTGTGTGTCTCTGTGTGTCTCTGTGTGTCTCCGTGTATCTCTGTGGGTCTCTGTGTGTCTCTGTGTGTCTGTGTGTGTGTGCGCATCTGTGTGTGTGTGTGTGTGTGTGTCTGTGTGTGTCTCTGTGTGTCTCTGTGTGTCTCTGTGTGTCTGTGTGTGTGTGTGTCTGTGTGTGTGTCTGTGAGTGTGCGTCTGTGTGTGTCTGTGTGTGTGTGTCTGTGTGTGTGTGTCTTGGTGTGTCTGTGTGTGTGTGTGTCTGTGTGTGTCTGTGTGTATCTGTGAGTGTCTGTGAGTGTCTGTGTGTGTCTGTGTGTGTCTGTGTGTGTGTGTGTGTCTGTGTGTGTCTGTGTGTGTGTCTGTGTGTGTCTGTGTGTGTCTGTGTGTGTGTGTGTTTGTGTGTCTGAATGTGTGTGTGTGTGTGTGAGTGTGTGTGTGTGTCTGTGTGTGTGTGTGTGTGTGTGTGTGTGTGTGTGTGTGTGTGTGTGTGTGTGTGTGTGTGTGTGTGTGTGTGTGTGTGTGTGTGTGTGTGTGTGTGTGTGTGTGTGTGTGTGTGTGTGTGTGTGTGTGTGTGTGTGTGTGTGTGTGTTTTTGTCTAGTGTGTGTGTGTGTGTTTTTGTCTAGTGTGTGTGTGTGTGTGTGCGTGTGCGCGCATTTTGTTCTGCTCCGTTCGGTACGATTGTTCAGTATTTTTGGACGTTGTGCCTTCCAATATCCTTGTTTGTCTGATTTTTGGTTGGGTTTCTATACATTTAACAACATCCAGCAAACAAGGGATGTTTTTTCCCTATGGGCACGCAAGGCAATGCTCGTGCTGGGGCTATGTATCTTCCTGTGAAGCTGACCGTCAAACGATGCGACGCTTCCATCTGCCGAGAGAATAGGCACCGGCCTGAATATGGCGTTTGCCTAGCCGCGGCACCCATTCCATTTTGGAAAATTCTCATGCAAGCTCAGGAATGAACGCCTCTCGAATTCGCGAAGTTTCACGATAGTGACATTTCGCATTTTGCGTCGGTCTGGGGTTACTTCAGACGACGGCAAGGAGTAGGCAGGATTCTTGAGCAGACATCTCCTACCGAGAGCTGCACAGTTGGCCAGAACTGCATGCCATACAAGGGCACCCGCTCATTTGAGTGGCGTGATGCCCATTGCACACCTAGTCTATGGAACCGCGGGACCGTCGTGACGACTTCTGGATCCTGCACCTCCGGTTGCAAGAGGTTTACCCGAAGGCGAGGTTTTCAATGCAACGTTGTCAGTGGGTCCGTGCCCAATCAGCAAAACCCCTTGCACCCGGCGAAGCCTGGGTGGTCCACTGCATCCTTAGGCCCCCACGCCTTTTGAAGGCACTTATTCCATGAAAATGGATAGTGCTAGAGGATGCAACATGCATCCCAGCCAAGATTCCTTTTGCCCGTTGATTTACTTAAGATATTCGAGTCCTTTCCCTGGGATGCATGGAATGCAGAGACCCGTCACCGACTTTACAGGCCTGGCGAGTGCCCGCTGGGAGTTGGCTTTCTTTGAACTCAACTTGGTCGGCACTCCATGATTGGTAATGACCCTTCACTGCAAGCGCACAGTGAATTAGAGCGGCGTGTTGGGGGCTCGGCGTTTCACTGTGGGCCTGGTCGCATGAGCCGCGATCGAAACCTGACTCGTTTCAAAGTGAACTTTCAATTGTTTGAGCTGCGAGCAGTTTCAACATTGGTTCAGAGCCAGTAGAAAAGCTGCGTAGATGAAGGTTCGTGGGGGGACAATCCCAACCATGAAAAAACAGGCCACCCTTTCCATTCTTTGCATGGTTCTGGGTCGACCTACCAAAATCCCAGGCTTTGATTGTGTCTCTCCGGCTTTGGAGCCGACGACCGCTCATGGCGTGAAGCACCAAGCTCGAGCTTGCTGCGTTGCACCCTATCGTATATCTAAACCGGTGGCACAGGATCATTCTTGTGCCATTGACCTCGTTTTCGGAGACCAAAAAGGAGTGGCCAAAAGCCAAAAAGCATTGCACCAGCTCGGTGATTCGGCCAGAGTCTCGACTAGGTCACAGGGGGTTGAATTGTGGATCAATACGTCACGGGAGCAAATCCGATGAGAAATCTGGGGTCTGACATGGCTATAGTGTAACTTGATGTTGAGCCCTGATCTTTGCACCTGCCAATGAAATGTAGGAGGCGGGCACTTTTGAAAGTGAGCCGACACGAACCGTCGCCAGAGATAGTACTTCGCAAAGAATCTGACGCCCTCAACAGACTTGCTTGCCTTCCCCAATTCCCTCGCCGGGTGAAACAATTTGGAGGTCGAAGCCTCCCATGACCGTCCGCTCCATGAGCGTTTGGCCGCAAGAAAAACATCGCACCAAAAGGAAGCTCACTCCAAGACGTGTTAAAACATTTAAAACCAGCAGGGGAACTTTTGGTATGATTTGGGTGTTGATCAAAAGGTCTGGTATGGGATGACCATTGGCTGGGACACCACGAGAGAAAGACGTGATATTTCCCTTTAGATGGGGAAAGTTGTCATTTGGGGGCCGAAGGGAATATTGATCAACCCCCATGTGTCATGTTGCTTTGGGAACCCTTGGCCACCAAAACGGGTATGTGTTTTTTTCCTGCTTTGGGAACCTTTGGTGGATATGTTTGCAACAGACTTATGCCCATGGTTGTCGCCAGGGTGCGGCCTGACCGCTCCAGCTACCGGGGCTGCGCAGCCACGGCGCGGAGGAAGACTTGCATCCAAGACTTCACCCAGGACGGCATCGGTTCCCTCAATTCGTTCAACTTTTCATTTGGCAGGGGTCCCTATATAACTCCCCTTTTGGTGGCTTCAACATCACCTTTAATGTGCCTTTTAGAGTGATGTGAGTTGGAAAGCCACGACTAAAAGGCTTTTAGTGCCTTTCAACTAACTCCTTGTAGTTTCCTTGAAATGGGGTGAGGTTTAGCAGGGAAGTTTTGGGAAAAACCTGGGTGTTCCGCGGCCCAACTGGCAACATGTTTTCGGGGTTTTGGTCTGGTGATTGGAGCTACCGGAACCCAAGGGCCCCCTGTTTGCGAGCCTTGAAGGAGGAGGTGCTGGGTAAGAAAGCCGGATTTGAAGCTGGGGGTATCCTGTTTTTACTATTCTCTTGGAGCAAAGGCATGAGCTTTGTCCAAAAAGACCCCCAACTTGGTTTTTTAGGTCTTTCAGGCCGCCTTTTTGACGATGATGTATTTTTTCCTACAGGGCACCCTTTTTTGGCGAAATTTAAGGGGAAGCCAAAAGGAAAACCACATCTTGTTGGTTCCCTAATTTTTAGACAACCCCGTCTCCATTTAAGCTCATCTTGACCCGTTTGTTCATATCCCCATGAATCAGGTTTATGGCTGCCCTGGAAGAAAGGGGCTCTCCACAAAAAAAACGGCTCCCTGAGGAATAACTGGGTTATGAAGGGGTTTCCATGAGTTCCTTATATGTCTCTTCAAACATCAAAGGGAAGCTCAATCAACATTTGCAACCCAAAGGTGATGCGGGTTTGCTTCAAAAACAGGATCCCCCCCAAAGGCAAGCGAAGAACACGACAACACGGCTGGGTGCATTTTGGAGGCGGCTGGGAGTTTTGCCGGCAAGGGCACTCATGAAAGTCATGCGAGTTGTCAGTCGTGCGTCAGTTGCGACGTCCGAAGCTGACTTGATAGGACCTGGATCGCCCTCCTCTGACTACAGCTGCGCGGGCTTTCTATGATGAGGAGCGGCCGGAGCATGATGACTCGGTGCATATCCCCATCCCTTCAAAGTGGAATTGGGTGACCCTGGAACTCCGCACTTCGTCTCATTTTTCATTTGGAGATGGGGGGACTCCCCACTGCCCTCAACCAAGTGGGGGCGATAGGTGCATCCTTTGTCCTGCCCGATGTCCATGATGAAGGGCCCTTACTTCATACCAGCTTTACCTCTGGCCTTTTTGTCTTTCCTCGATTTTCCCTTAGCAAGCTGTGAAGCCCCTCTCGCTTCGCCCAGACCTCTGGGTAGGGGTGGAATGATGTCTCCTCTTCCTACGGCCATCATGGCCCAATCATCGTTGACCTCTTCGTCTTGCCATCTTGGGTACACCTTGTGGGTCCTGGCCCATCTGTGGCTATTGCCACAGCGCCTTCTGGGCCAGATCATGAATGAACCATGGGCTCCAGTTCGGACGGCTCCCCATTGCCTTGTGGCCTAAGTCACGCTTGAGGCCCATGTTCTGGGTGGCCCCCTTTTCGTCTCTTCAGGCTCGTACCTCGTCATGTCTGATGCTGGAGCTGTCAGGTTTTGCAAGGGGAAAAGTCTGGCCCAAGACTTGTGAAGCAACTGGGTTGTGACGTCCACCCTTGCAAGTTGGTAAGTCGCTAGCCACTTGGGCTTTAACTCATGAATATCGCGGTCAACTTGTCTTCGGGGCACCAACAAAGTGGGATCTATTGCAAGCTACTAACCACATTTTTAAATTGGCCGAAGATTCCCTTTGCCTGCTTTTCATTTTCCGAGCTCAGGGATCCCCTTACCAACAGGTTGTTCCCCCAAACAAACCTTTCTGAGCCGCTGGCACGAGTTTCATGCTGCCAGTGGGATGCGATACGCCCAGGAGGCTACACTGAAAGAGGGTTTTGACTCCTGTTTCAACGCAAAAAAGGATGGTGAGGATGCTCTTTCGACCCTGGACGGAAACGGGACTCACTGGTTCCCCTCACCCTCGGTACCGGAGACGCTTTGAGGCGGTATGTTAAGGTGTGGCAAAACTTGACTTTCCACCACACGTGGAGCATCCACTTCCCCCCAAGAAGGTGACACTTCCCCGTGCACTTTTGGTACAAGGGGAATACCATATCCAGGGAGCGCGCTTTTCGCTTTGCAACATTGCAGTGGAGGTTTTAACTTGTTGCGTGGGTTTTGGACATCACCTGATTGTTTAAAATGAGCTTTCACCAAGGGAGCATTTGATGTTTGCCGTGGGAATCGGAGGGACGTCATTGGGCCTTGAAGGGACGCTCAAGCGCGCCGACTCCAACAGTTTGAGGATCCGCAATTCACTCCATGTGCTATTGGGGGATTGGCGGCAGCCCGTCCTTTGGGCTCACGTGTGCCATGGTCAAAACGACCCCTTTGCTTGCATGGTCACCAACCTCTTGGTCGTTTTAGACAACCAATGTAGGTTTAGCCACCCCCAGAAGAGCTTTGACCACAGCTTTCGGTGCCGCAGGAGGATCAAACCGCAAGCCAGCAGGCGTGGACGGAAAAGCGCGTTGTTAGGTGGGTTTGTTCATTAGGTTGTTTTGACCATTCTAAGTTCTGGGCAAATTTCACAAGCGCCCCCAAGATTCGGGAATTGTCCACGTCACCCAAAGTGACGGCTCCTTGCTTGCGGATTGCTGATAGGTGAATTCGCTGATTTTTGCTCCTGCTTATTTTTTTTAATGTGCGGGTGATTTGGATCTATTGTAGGCTGTTTACGCTGTTTCACTTTTATTTCAGGGCCATGGTAGGTCAGATGTCAAGAAGCCCTCCCGCCATTCGTGAATTCCCCAAACAGGGGACCCGCAGATTCCCCTAGACGTCCTGAGTCGGCTCTTGAGTCGGCTCAGGAGAACTGACTTCCTGGTTCCGCAAGCTTTGTGAATGAACAGGAACACATGGCAGGTATCGAACTTAAAATGGATCATTTGCCAGAGTTCCCGCTGCAAAGCTGAAGGCGATACATTTGTAGCTAAGTTTAAGCGAGAGACATGGCAACGAGCGCAGGAATCCCAACCTCCGCAAGGCTGATTCCACGCCTGCGGCGCACGGAAACTAGCCCTGGATGAGGAACCTCTGGGAAGGTGAAGGCACCTACCCTTCTCCCAAAAACCTGTTCCCAATCCGTATATTTTCCTCCTTGGGCATACTGCATTCCAGTGTAAAAGCAAAGTTAGGTAAAGTGTCAGAGTCACACCACACACGGTCTAAGCAATAATATTTCACACATACATCTCTGAAGTTTTCACAAAGGTCAGTCAATAGCAAAACATCTTCTTTCACATCGATCTTGTGATGTTCTCTCATGTTTTACTGTTATATAACATGTGTCCGTATCATTTTTGCTTTTTCATAGTCTTCATCACTTATCCTCGTTCAATTGACTGCCTGGGGTATTCCCTACCTGCAGGGCCTTTTGAAGGTGTGTAACGTCTCCCAGGGCAAATGAGGGTCCAATGCTGAAGGTATCTCGAAAAAAGACGGACGACTTGCAGGCCTCCGGAGGAACAAACCAGGCCGCCAAAGTGCTACAGCTCAAAAAGGTCCAACATGAATACAACCAAAGTGTTGGTATACCCCCTACCATAGTCTTCATCACCTCGTTCAAATTGACTGGGGTATTCCCTACCTGCAGCTCCTCCGGACCAGGAACACACTGAAGTCCCTCT